TGGCCACCAGCGGCCATGTTGCCTAGGTATATTCTTCTAATGGCAGTGTATATATAAGATTTACTGGGATAAAATGAATTCTGGGAAACATTTAGGACTGAAGAACCCTAAGATTTTTTAGATATTCTTGAACAAAAATCTCAGAGATGAAATTTTGTCAAAATATGGAAGAATGAGAGTTTAGCATGATGATGTGAGCTAAGTAATCTGATGTGTTTGTCACAATTTGCTATGAAGGTCAAAACTATTAAGAGAGAGAGAGAGAGAAATATGGGAACATCAACCGCCTTCAGTAGTTCTTGTCAGCTTGGTATCATTATATAAATATCTAAACTGACTGGAACTGCAATAAAATAACAAAAACCAAAAACACATGAAGATTTCATTTGTAACAGCAAATAAAAATGTTCATAAGTAAATAATTAAACAACTATTAAAGTTATCTAATTTTGCAAATGAACTCTTCACAGGAACACGAAACAGAGGAAGCAAGCTAACCTTAGTCCAACTTATTTTTCTACACCCAAAGAAACCAGAAGAAGAAAGATGTGAGTCAAATAGGAAACAGTTATTCTATGAAACTGGTGGGTTTTGAACAGTGTCAGTAAAAATATATATTGTGTGAACTTAAAGTCTATATAGGAAAGAGAAGGAAAATCTATGAAGTCTTTTTCACACGAAACACCGATGCGAGGACATTATTTTTCCCAGAATGACCATTTTTCAAAGAAAGAATGATTTATAAGCAGGTTTTTAAACACCTGAAACAAAATTTTGCTGTAATACTGTTAAAATGTGTCAATATTCATGAAACATTTATATTTATCTATCAACAGCTTCATAATAACCTAATAAAACACTTTTTTAGGAGAGAAATTTTAGCTGAAAATGTAATTTACAAAAAAATAAAATAAATCAGGGAAGCATTTCAGAACATATGCATGGAATTTCTATTTTTATTTCTAAAGTGTCTCGAATAAATATTTTTGAGCGACTTATGTGTTTGCAACTTTTCAGCATCTTTTAATTGGACATCTACAGTGTGTGTGGTCTGAGAGAAGCTCCCCTGATGCGAGGGCTGTTCAAGATGCTCACTGACTACTTTTCTCATGACACTACACTTTAGTTTCACCTCTGTCTGTTCAGTTAACTTTGCAGAAGACAAAAATGATCAGGTGTTCAGGCCCCCTGTTGAACTCCACAAGGAGAAAAAAAACAGCCCGTCTATCTCTGAGTAACTGATAAGTTAAACATTCAAACAGCCAATTACTGCAGCTTGACAGTTCACATCCTAGTTGTGAGAAACTCTACTCCCCATCTCAAAATAAACCAGATAAAACTCAGGATAAGTGGTGATCTGTCCATTTTAAAACAGTACCACATCATGAGTCCAGCGCCAGTAAGGGTGGTGTCCTCCAGCAGATCTGGCTTCTGACCCAGCAGGAAGCAGCTTGGGAGAGTGTGGACTCCAGCCAGCCAATTAGAGAGCAGGGAGCACAGAGCATGGCGAGGATAATGAGGCCCCTCTCTGTGACCCTCTTCACCTCTGCAGGACCCCGCAATGGGAAACATGAGGACCCACTTTAACCCGACGTCAGCCCTCGCCGTAACCCGCTACCCTCTTCTAGAACTCCTCGCTGAAGCTTCTCTCACACCCTTTACACCAACTGCTGGTTTTCAGGCCCTGCTGTGTGACCGCAAGGTCCACAAACACATGCTGCCTCTCTCCTAAGGCCCACCATGTGGATTATTACTGCAGTGCTGATGCTAAAACCAAACATTAGTCACAGTAACGTTCATTTTCCAGGAGTTTACTCTGGCTTGGTCCTGAACGGTGTAGATTAAACAGTTTCTAATCAGGCAGAAACGGTCAACTGGTTCCACTTTTACTGGCAGGATTTTTAAAAGGGTGAGATAATTTTGAGGCTGTGATGAAGTGAGACTGGATCGATGCTACTTGGAATTAGGGTTATTTGAAGAATAAGTAAAAAGTGGTCTCAGATAGTCCAGGACAGTCAAATTTGGTTTTTCTGGGCCCTGTGATGGTAACGAAACAAAAGAAGGGGGCGTCACTAACAAACATGGGACCTCCAACCCCCTTTTTCTCTCCAGGCAGAAGTGGTCCTGTCATTTGGACCCTGCAAACACGGACCATATGTGAGTTCAGCCCTGGCAATCAGACTGCATTGTGGAGCAGGCGGCTGAGTTCATCAGGAAAAAATTAGCCCGCCGCTCTGGAAGCCTCTCTCCCATTGGCCAGTCACGCGGCCCGCTCTGTTTGAGGGCACCCCAGACATTCCTGCGGATAATCTTTTCCATTCCTCCGCTCAGCTCGGTGAGGACAGACCAAATCACAGCACAAGGCCTGCATTGTGAGGGTCTTTTCAGAAAGTCCTGTTTTCAGTGCCGTCTCTCTTTTTACGTCCTCCTTCTCCCTCACCTCATATGCCGCAAATCCAAAAAATATAATAAAAAAAAGAAAACATATTTCCCCATCACGACTCCCCTTTTTCCTCATTGCTTTTATTAAAAAAATGAATCTGTGGAAAAGCTGAGTTTCTCACGGTCCCGTTCCAGTAAGAGTTTGTTTTTGAAAAGCCCAAACAATGTAAAACCGCTGAAACCAGAGCCCGGCCACATCAGTGCGCTGCCTGGAGTTCAGCAGATCACAGCTGAAAACGACTCCCCCCGGGCGAGGTTCGCTCGCCTTCCCAGAAACCTCCCGCTCGGTCCCCGCTGCACGCCTCGTGCCTCCCCCAGCAACTTGTCATTGTGGGTGCAGACGGGCGGCCCCAATGTCGAGATTGGAGGACAATCACACAATCTCGGGACATTGCTGGATTTATAGCAACACATTCCATAATTAGAGCCGAGATTATTACAGAGTCTATAAACTTCAGACTCCGGAGCGGCTTTCCACCCTCTAAACACACAGCTACTCTGCCTTTTCCTTTCCTAACATGCAACTGAATTACTCTGACATCTCAAGCAGTGCAAAAGCAACAAGAAAGGACAGCAACGGTAAACTGCTTCAGCACTTTGACCCCACCTCTACTCAAGACTTTTTTGCAACAGACTAAATTATCCAATGTGACTTGGAACTAAAAGTGCCACAGCTCCTAAAATATCCACAACACTAATAAGGAAAACCTTTGACATACTCCAGTAAGACTGCTCTTCTAAACCAGATGGTCTGATTTGTTCTGGGAGCACGTGCACCCTTGCCACAAGCTGTGACAGTAAAGTATGTTGCAATCAATCAAGATAACAGTAAAATACACAAAGATGGGGGAGAGGTTGGTGGAAGCACCTCGCCGTGTTTCGACTTGTCCATGAAAAAGTGTTTGCCTGAGAAAAAAGAGGGGTTTTGTCTTTTTTTTACCAATATAAATAAAAATAAAATACTTCTTCTATTCCTTTGGGGTGGGAAGATATTTAAATCTTTTTAAATTGTAAATAAAAATAAAAGAATTAAGAAAACAAATAAATCATTGCCTCCAGGGGTTGTTGAGTCAGATGGAAATTATGTCACAACTGCAGGAATATTTTCCTGCTCCTTAATTCCTTCTGAGAAAAGAAAACGTCTGAAAATAAAACAAAACAAAAATTGGCTCAATTGAGCTTAAATTCACAATCAAAATCAATTAAAGCAAACACTCTAGAAAACAATTCAAATAAAAAAATTATTTGAGCTTTTTTAAGGATAGTTAATAGGATTTTAATCTTTTATTCCTAAAAAAACAAACTACATTTAAAAGAATGAATTATTTTATTTTATTTAGAGAAGTTTTCAGTCAGACTGAACCCTTTCAAACCATTTGATGCATCCTTTAAAAAGGACAAAATGCTTCTACTAAAGTAAAAAATGGTTCCAAGTGAACGGACATTAAGTTCCTTTGCTGGCTTATTTCAGAAAAACAGAACATGAACGCAGCAACAGTGTCTAAAAGAAATGTTCACGGGAGTTGTTTTTAAAAAGAGTGGACGACTGAACAAATTAGAGCCACTTATGTTGCTGAGAGCTCTTAAAAGAGAGGAGAAAAATAATATGGCGAGGGAACAAGGACTAGGTTTATGCACTTATAGTGAATGGCAAAATGGAACAAAGAGACCAAAGTCTGAACTAACTCAGAACTAAATGGATGAGGAGAAGCACTTGGTTTCTATTTTTAAAAAAGGCTTGCATTTCTGACAAAGACTACCCCAATAAAAGAGCTCATCAAGAAAGCTCTGGTTCTTGGACTAAAATAAAATGAATCAGAAGCTCTCTTGAAGTTACTTTTTCATGTTTAGATTTTGACGCACACATCATGCTTCGCCCTCACGTCATGGTGCAGCACAATAACTCACAGCACTGATGCTACAGGAAGAGAAAGAACGCCTTGGGGCAGGAATGATAAATGTATCAGGTCCACTGGTATGTTTTGCGTAATTGATTAGCTTCACATCAGAACATTCTGCTGGGAGGAAGAGGCTGATCTATAAACACCTCTGTTAACTTGTCCATCAGAAACAACTCGGCATGCAAAGACACCATTAATCATAAAAAACAGACTGAACGCTGCCTTCAAGGAGGCCCCAGAGCCCCACCTCTGACTGGAGGTGATGGTGTGTGTGCGTGTGTGTGTGTGTGCGTGTGGAGGGGTGTTGTTGCATCACTGAAAGGAAATGAGAACAGAAATGTACTCCAAACTTGAAAAAAGGGGGGCAACTCAATTATCTCAAGTTTTTAAAAAAGCTAAATAATTTTGATTTGTTTTGTCGAATGAAAACAAATGAAAATATATGACATTGTCATTTTTAGTGATTAGAACATCTTGTTAGGTCCCATCAGGTCACGAGGTACACTGATGAAACAAGATCCTCATGACGATGAGATTTACTTAGTAGGAAGAAAACAAACAAGGAGCTTAAACAGGGACACAAGGAGGTCATAATTTAGTGAAAGGTGAGGGTAAAAGAGAAAGACCAAGTTGCAACAGGCGTGTTTGTACAGTTACCTGAGGATAGACGACGCTGATGGAGGGGACACACGCCGCTGAAACATGAACATGCCTCTGATGAGCGACCTCGCTGCATGGGAGGAGCCAGTGAGCACTGGGGCTTCAAAAACCCTGGGAAATGAGAGATGAAAAGGTGCTTTAAAGGAAATAATTAAGATAATGAACAAAACAAGAATTAAAAGTGTTTCTTTTGCAATCAACAGGAAATGAGGGGTTGCCTCAAATGCTGTGAGCAGCCAAGCCCGTGTTTTTCATAATTACAATTACAACAGGATCTCGCTTTAACCTCCTAACTGTTCAGGTCAGCGGAGCATCTGTATGCATGTCAGAGCCTGCAGAGCAGAGGACCTGGAAAAGATGCTGGTCTGGTGACATACGGGCACAGAGAAGAGTGGGCAAAGATGCCACACCAGGCGACGCCTGGAGGGGATGAAGGAGGTCGTCTTACTGTCTGTGTCTGAGGTCACAGGGGTCACTTTTAATAGGCACAATAGGCGAGTTTCCATTGTGGGAACTTCAGGGTAAATTCTGGGTTGGGGAAACTGATCGGGAGATGGGATGGCTCTGTCCTCTCAGCTGTTTTGTTTCCATAGAAATTCAGCCCTTTCAGGACTTAGCACAGACGTTAGCATATCACGACTCGTTCGGCAGGGAGTGGTGTCACTGAGCAGCGCTAAACAGCATCCACAGTAACATTAATAACATTTAAAGTTACATTATCAAAGTTTTTCATAATTTAATCCATTCAGAGGATGAGAGCAGCTGCGTGATGTAAAATGTGGCATTCAATAACCTGAATAAGCTCAGTTTTTTACACAAGCTCAATGAATTATGTTGTTGTGAGGTCACTCCACAGTGTTTGTCGGTAGTGGGAGTTTAGTTATGGCGATTTATAATCAGCATGATTGTTGCTTACTGTCTTTTTCTTCCATCGTGCTTCACAAACAACTCTTCTAATGTTGTTTTGGATGGCATCTGCGGATGGTATTTCCTACCGAGTTACAACAAATCACTGTGAGAGTTAACTAAAAGTTCTGCTCGGCAACTGCACCGGGCCATTTCCCTACCCCTCTTCAGCTACTCCGAAAGTTCCTGAAAATACCCCGTAAAATGGCCAGTAAATTTTCCATGGAGAGTCAACTGTGGGGGCAGTAACCCCTCCAGCCAAGCCCTCACTGATCAATGACATCGTGCAGTAAAAGAGAAAAAGAACAAACTCTAGAAAACCCTAAAATATAAGATTAGTAAGAAGTTTCTGTTTTGTTGCTTTCTTACTGCATCCTAACATCACCTTTGTGTCACACAACTGATGAAAAAAGGGGCAAAACGGGTAAACGAATCCCAAATAACAATCAAAAGCATGTCAAAGTGAATGACATTGACACCAATGACGATCTCAGATTCATGATGTTTCTTAAACACACTTCACAAATATGAGAGGTGCTTCGCCCTATGACTGACACCTTAGCTTTAAGCCAAAGTAGAAACTTGTGAGAGAACTTTGAATTCATCTGTCTGCATCGACTGGGCGGCTCACGGAGATCTCGCTGGTTTAGACAAAGTTATGAACACACAAACTTTAGTTGCTCCGTCTGAAGACCTTTGAGCAAACATCAACACCAGCAGACAGGAACCACCCCCTACTTCCCTTATCCCCCACCCGCATCACTCAATTTTGAGCCCAATAAAGCTTTTTTTTATTTCCAGCATGAAAAACATGTCACTCCAGATGAGCTCAGAGTGACATTTAAAACAGGCAAAGGGATATTGAATTAGTTCCTCATGATAAGCTGTCTGGGATGCTGATATTTTCCTGCTTTTGCAAGCACACAAGTGCGTGTTACGTGGGAGCGTGTGCGCGTGCGTGCATGCGTGTGTGTGTGGCTATGTAGATGTGCGACCAAGGGTGCGTTTTATGTCTGATGCCATTCTTCAAAGCTGTGATTGGTTTAAGAGAGATAGACTCAACTCGAGTGAGAACAAACATGAACGGACTGAGATCATCTTGCAAATGAAGTAAAACAGATGAAACAGAGTTTTGAAAATGTTGAACAAGGAGCAAACATGTTTCTCAGATCTACTATCCTATTGTTTACCGAGCACCATAACTGTAATTAATATCAGATGTTGGAAAATAGCCCCAAAATACAGTGACGCCTCTTTAATCCAGTTTTATGGATGTCATTAGAGATAATGGTACGCTGGAAGGCCATGAATAAAATGCAATGATAATTTATGTAGGTAATTCTGCCAACGACAGCCAGCAAGTTAAAAAGACTTGTCACGGTTTCTAAACAAACACTATAAATGTGTCGCAGATTAAAATGTTTCAACACTGAGCTTGGGTGACATTTATCTGATGTGGTAATATAAATTTTATCTGCCAGATTTGGGAGATTTCTGTTAAGAGTCCCTTTTATCATGACTGAAGGTTAAAGGGATATTCCACCCCTAAGTGAAATTTGGTCTGTTTCCACGCAAAATGCTAGCTGTTATTACTCACTTACATTGTTTATGCTAAGCTAAAGCTAACAAATACTGCCAGATTTGGAAAATGCTTTTTCCCACTTTTCTAAGGCAACAGACCAAATTACACTTAGAGTCACTCAAACAGTATCTAGATTATTTAGGAACTAAATTAGACTTAAAATGAAGTCTGCATTCTTTCCAGCCTTAATTTTTATTTCAGAACATGTTATGTAGAGGAATTATGAAATTTTGTGACGTCACACACAATTTCACTCACAACAGTTTGGACCTTGTGTTCAATTTTTTACAAACATGTTGAATTTTAGCTCAATATCTGTAAAACCCTTTTAGAGTTTGCTAACATCAGTCACCTGAGGCAGCCATGTTGAATTAATTTGACTCAGAAATCTAAGTTGTTGATGGATGTCCGATGGCTAGTTTGAATGAAATCCATCCAGTTGTTCTTCGCTACAACACACTTTAGCTGAGTTTGTGTAAATTGACTTAGCTAGCTTTGCATTTTCCTACACCAGTCGGTTGTGGCGGATATATTGAATTAAAGGGATACTCTGCAACTTTTTCATATTTTTAAATCATTTTCATGAGCCAGTATGTAATAAAATGACTCTTCACTGGGTTAAATGATAAATAACCCGCACTTGTATTACCTCTCAGAGTAAGAACTCCAAAGCGCTTTACACTACAGTGTATCCTTCATCCATTCACACACACATTCACAAACTGATGGTGATGAGCTACGATGTAGCCACAGCTGCCCTGGGGCGCACTGACAGAGGCGAGGCTGCCGAGCACAGGCGCCACCGGTCCCTCCAAATAATGTTCCCACAGGACAGAGTAAAAGTACGGAACGCTGGAAGTGCAGGAAAACAAAATTAATTTGAAACTTAACACGATATCCGACCACCACAAGCAGGCAAGGTGGGCTAAGTGTCTTGCCCAAGGACACAACAGCAGAATTCTCTGTCCGGAGCCGGGGTCGAACCTGCAGCCTTCCAATTACTGGATAAACCGCTCAACCTGTTGAGCTACTGCTGCCCTGCAATGAAATGAAATTAATGAAAAGTCACTCAGACCCCCACCACCCTCTATGGCCAGAATACTGCATTTGCAACTTTAGAGTGCCGGTCAGGTCTGATGGACTTAAGGTGGTAAAAAGACAAACACACAGCGAGGAGATAAATGTTGCCTTCGGTTCTACTAAACGGACACTAGGGGGTGGTAAAAGCATGCCAAAATTGCCTAGTCTTCCGTAAGTACACAAGTTTAAATGGCCATGTTGCACTAATAATTTGCACTCAGGGGATGTGTTGTGCATGCCTCTCGGGTAATAGCATCACATTATAACTGAATACCTGTAAAATGGCAAAGTTTGAGTCATCTTTATGTGTTTAATTAACTCTGTAGGCCATCTTGAATCCAGTTGACTCAAAAATTCAAGAGTTGTAGATTTCTATCCTGAAGTTAATGCTTGAACTTGTAATAAAATTTGTAATTTTAAGTTCCTGGCTCATCATCAGAAGGTTGCAGGTTTGAGCCCCACTCAGTCTATCACAGTCATCGTGTCCTTGCCTGCTGGTGGTGGTCAGAGGGACCGGTGGCGCCTGTGTACAACAGCAGGGCAGCTGTGGCTACATTGTAGCTCATCACCACCAGTGAATGTGTGCAGGCGTAGGTGAATGACTGGTTGTTTGTAAAGCACCTTGGGGGGTTGCATAAACCCAGAAGGTGCTATACCAATAAAGGTCATTACATTTTTAGCCAGAAAAGAAATGAACAAGCGCACAAACACAGGCAAAATAATTATCAGCTGCCACCAAAAGGGAAGTGAGGATAATTAATCTTTATTTCATTAAAATGCTTCATAAAATGTAGAAAATTATTCACTTATAATCAACTAAATAAACATCTAGATGATAAGTACACATGGCTTCTTTCCAAGCTTTTGATAGAAACAGTGCCAACTTTAGGCATGGAAGACTCCATCCAATGTCTGAGTTGAAAAAAATCCGTTTAAGATAGAGAGTGAAAAATAAACTCGCACAAAGCTGAATTTTCTCCATCTTTGTCAAATAAATCAGTTCTTAAAGAAACATTTCTGGCTGTACAAAAGGGGTTGAAGGGCAAACAATGACACATGGTATGAGTTCTGAGCAGTGTCACTGAACATTAAGGCATTAGCATATGAGCCCGGGCTACCAGTCAAACTGCACTTTTCCAAAATCAAAAGTAAATTAAGGAGACAGCAGCTCCCCCCACTAAAAATGAAGAGGAAAAAAAATGCCTCACACTGCAAGCCATCCCCTGGAATAATGTTCCCACGGGACAGAGTAAAAGTACGGAACGCTGGAAGTGCAGGAAAATGGGACAAATTAGTTTGAAACTTAACACGATCTCAGCGACTTTTGGGGGAAAAAAAGAAACTATATACTTCACCATTTTCAATGTAAACACACTTCGCTAAATTATATCAAACTACTGTCAGTTGTTTTTGATTCATTACTTGACTTAAAAATCCACCTTTTTCCAAGAAATATAATTACAATGCTCATGAAACATTCAGCTATGTGACAGCTGTAAAAATATTTTACAAACCACAGATTTAGGAGGCACATATCCATCTT